ATGACCTGAGAAATTTATTGAAATATTCTTCGTAGTCTAAGTACATGAGTTACTTTTCTTCCTTTTTGTTTCATAATTATTACACAGGTATTGAATACAAGGTATGTTCTTCTCTTGTGTATATAAAGTTTATTGTATATCTATTGATCAACCTTAAAATATCATGCAATTTCTCCTTGTCATTATCTTTTCAAAAAAACTATGTACTCTATCAAAAGTTGAAAGTTGTTATCGGTTGTATGAAACAGATGTGTTTTTTTTTTTTTTTTTCAGTTTGCCTATTTCTAATGGCTTAGTAGGAATGAGAGAGTGTGGGAGCCAGAGATACAAGTTTGTAGCTAGAGTATGGGACTCTTTATTGCCAGATCTAGGAACTGTATCACGTATCAGGATGTTTCTTGTTGCAAATACTACCCAAAAAGTGAACTCAAGCTGACTAAAACAATATAGGAGCCATATGAGCTTACATAATTGAGAACTTCGGAGAAAAGGCAGCCTTGAAGTGTGCTTCCATAAGGCTTCTGGCATTCTCTCAGTCCAGTTGTTCTGTCCCTGTCAGTTTCATCTTCAGGCTGGTTTTCCTCATGGTAACAATATGAAGGAGGCAGCCCAAGGTGTAACCTCTGCACTTGATGCCATCCAGAGGAGAGGGTCTGTATCCCATAGCTCTCTGCAAAAGTCCCAGAATTTCATGATAGCACTGTCTTAGGTCAAATGCCCACATCCTATAGTCATTAGCCTGGGGTTGGTATATACTCACTGACTTAGTCCAGTTTCATGCTCCATTTATCAGAATGGTGTAGTGTTTCTCAGCATCTCGTGGACCCCTTATGGAAGGTCCATAGGACGAGGAAGAATAAAAGGGGAAACTCAATACTAGTTATAGTAGCAGCAAATACCTTCTCTGTTGATGCCCAGTCTCACACTGGCACTTCTATATTCTGCTTGGTATCTAAGGGAGCTGGAGAGTCATTTTCCAGAACCCACTGACTGTTGGTTTCCTGTGTAGTTCTACCAATGGAAGACACTCATATGCAAATAGGAGGTGGAAGGGGGAAGTTGATTCTTGTCTTGGTCCTGGCTCTGGTAGTGGCAGGGGTAGGTAAGTCCTAATGGCCTAAGTTCCTGGATCCTGCAGCCTTAGTGAGCTTATGAGCTCCTGGCTTACTATTGCAGCAGTTCAACCAGCAGCTTAAGGAACACATGAGTGGTCCTGAGAACACCAGAAAGCCCTCTGCTCCTTTGACCTCAGGAGAGCTTAGTGACTTTCTAGTTACTGATTTCACAGAATCCTCATCTTCCTTCCTTGGCTCTTCCATTTTTTCAAAATTTGCAACCAATTCATTGCATTAAGTTCCCTCTGTTTGAAATATCTAAGGTGGTTTCTATGTTCCAAATAGGACCCTGACTGATACAGTGCTATGCAAAATATTTCAAGTTTTTAGGTTATAATTTTATTAAGCTGATAACTGATATGCATATAAGTCCATAAATAAACAAAAGCCCAAATACGCATGATTGTAAGTCCATTTAACATTGATTCCCTAAACCCTAGCCATTTTGAGGAAAATGTGATATTGCAAAGCATATTTGCTGCCTGTATGAAGGTAAACTACTTCCTTTTATGTAATAGGGTGCATTGTTTAAGTTTCAGTTTTATTAAAATAATAATCAAGCTTTAAAACAACAAATGATTCTGTCAAAAAATGAAACAGAGCACTTATCTTTCAATACCATACTCAATGAGTGGTCATGTCATCCAACAAAACAAGCAGGGGTTTGGGAGATAATAGCTAATATTTTCAATATAAGACATCTAAAAATCAATACATACATCATGTGTTCATACAAGAGTTAGAAAAGGCATGCTTGACTTTACAGTCAAACTGTAAAATTTTGATCCAGTGACTGTTTTTGTGTTGCATTATTTCCCAGGAATACAATTGTCAGAATTTGGTTGTTACTTCTGGGGCTGTAGTAGGAACATTGAGAACTAGTCAAAGAAAGAGCATTCATTATCACATTAGGTAAAGGAAAAACACAAGTAAAACTGTCTACTATACTATTACTTACAAGGGAATTCTACTGGGAAAGTATATTTTATTTGATTACTATAAATAGAATGACATCAAATGGTAGGACAGAGACCAAGCTATATATCAGCTCTTGGAACAAAATCTTCAATTGAGATGGAAAAGTTTGCATTTCAAAACTTCCCCTTGGCTTTATTTGTATTCATCTGCTAGCTATAATGACAGGTGCATTTCTGAATCTGGTTTCTCCTGTTTCCAGATATATGAGAAAGTTTTGTCCACACAACTGATAACTCTTATCACATGACTGCTGGCATGCAGGAAGAAACCTAGCTTAGAGTGGGTACATGAAATTGGCTGAGGCCAGTATTCTCAAACTTTTTAGTCTTAGGATCCCTTTATACTCCTGAAAATTATAGAAGACTCAAAATTAACTGCTGTTTATATGTGTTCATTAGAAAGTAAAACTGAGAACTATTTAAAATATTTATTCACTTAAAAATAACCCCAGGGGCGCCTGGGTAGCTCAGTCATTAAGCGTCTGCCTTTGGCTCAGGTCGTAATCCCAGGGTCCTGGGATCGAGTGCCACATCAGGCTCCCTGCTCAGCGGGAAGCCTGTTTCTCCCTTTCCCACTCCCCCTGCTTGTGTTCCCTCTCTCGCTGTGTCTCTCTCTGTCAAATAATAAAATAAAAAAATAAAAATAAAAATAAAAATAACCCCATTGGGGTGCATGGGTGGCTCAGTCGATTAAGCATCCGACTCTTGATTTCAGCTCAGGGCATGCTATTAAGGTCCTGAGATTGAGCCCTGCATTGGGCTCTGCACCCAGGGGAGAGTCTGCTCCTCTCCCTCACCCTCCGCCCCTCCCCCACTCATGCTCCCTCTCTCTAAAATAAAAAATCTAAAAAAAATTAATAACCCCATTAAGTATAAACATAGTACCTGTCTAAAGACTTTTGTTTTTACTTTGTTTTAGGAGGCCATGAGAGACTCTGAACAGAGAGAGGAGTGGTATGATCTGACTTTCTTTTAATAAGTTTACTTTGGCCTCTGTGTTGAGAATAGACTCAAAGGAAAGCAAGAACAGAAGCAAGAAAACCAGTCCCTGGGCTACTGCAATAATCCAAAGAGATGATGCAGGTTGTAGTAGAAGTGGTAAGTAGCCATTTTCTGAATGTGTTTTGAAGGAAAAATCAACAGATTATTTGCAAAGTGGATAAGGGACATAAGAGAAAGAGGAATTAAAGATGGGTTTGGATACGGAAAGATGGAGCTTTTCACTGATATAAGATTATAGGTGTGGCTGAGAGACAATTCGAAGCCTTAAAGGGCATTGTAGTGAGATTCCTGTTAATTCTTTTCTTGTGTGTAGATGGATAGAGTATCAATTATAATATTTATTTACAGAAACTGTTCTAAATATACACCTAGAGCAATGGAAGACTCGTGAATAACTTTTTCTACATTAAAAGTATTTACGGATCAGTAAACATGCTCGTGTTCTGACCCCATTCTATCTTGAACAACAAAGTCTTTAAGTAAGTCATTTAAACTTGTTATATCTATTTCTTACTTGATAAAATAAGCATTGGATTAAGTGAACTCTTACGGTATCATTCGTTCATGGGGTGTGTAGGATGGGGGGTAAGACTGGATGGCTGAGGAGAACATAAATACAGGATTAAGCTTAAAGCTGGAGAACATACTCTTCAACATCATTACACTTACAGAAGTTATAAAAAAATCTTGTTTTGCTTACATGAAGCATCATTGAGCTAGATGACACTCTTCAAGAACTAGTTATATATTAATATATATGAATAAGAACCTTGAAATATATTGATTTCAGAAGAATAAAAGAAAATGTAAACATGTCTATATATATGGACACTAAAAATTTCCAGCCTTAAGTAAACAGCTTATGACATCTCAAAATGCAACAGCACTGCAAGTAAGATACTGCCATGGAATGTTGGAATATATACTCTTTTAAAGACAAAACGCATGCTATTCCACCTTCCTCATTTTACTATAAATTGAGAAAATATAGTCAGTTCCAAGAAAGACAATGTATGTGCTAAAATGTAATGGAGGATACTGCCAAGGTTTTGACGTTTAAACTACACGAATGCAACAAGATATGCCATTCCTTTAGTTTTAGATTCTTCTGCTGATTAATCTCTTCTTCCAGCTTCCTATGCTCTAAGAAAAATGGGTCCAAAAGGAAATTAAGATCTATTTTTTTTTCCGATTAAATTGCTCAACCCTTCAGACGGTGAATAAACTAGATAGAACTCTCAAAGGATCCCTTTGTTGTGGTTGTTAAGAGAACAAGCAGTACTCTGCCAAGGACTCTGTACCCCAAAATCCAGCTAGGCGCCCATAGGCTTCTCTTGAGTCTCGAAGCCGGGCTTCGGAGCAGCACCACCTGCTGGTTCTACACGCGTCTTACTTCCTTTGCCCCAAATCTCTAGTGGACCTGCATTCTTTCAATCTTCGGCACCTAATTACAAGTAAAGTCATTAGAACGATCCAGGCAGAAACGGCAGGTCTCCAAAGGCAGGAAAAAAGTAGGTACCCAACCGCTCGCTTCAGGATTGGGTCGCGAAGAAACACCACGCGGAGCAGCTGGCGCGAGCGCCCCAGGACAAGTCTCTACTTCCGCCCCGCGCGGCCCCGCCCCCCCCGCGACGCGACGGGCGGTCATGTGACCGCCGCGCGCGTTCCCGGCCGCTGCGGGCTCCGAGGCCGAAGAGGAAAGGCTACGAGACGGCCGCGGCTGTGGCTAGAGAGGTGGGAGTCGGGGTGAGGTTCTCGCGGGGAAGGGTCAGAGTCAGCCACTGCCACATCCTAACTCAGGGAAAGGCGTGATGGCTCGCGGTGTCACCTCTAGCCGCGACGCACTTCGGGCCGGCCCTGCGCTCCGGGCCTGAGAGGGGCGGCGGCGGGGTCAGGGGCCGGTATGTAGTTGGACGCCCTTGGGCCGGCGCGGCCGCGGCTCTCTGCGTCCAGGCGGGATGGGGCAGTTCAGCCCTTCCCGCCGCCCCCACCTTGGCTGTTGTCGCAGGCAAGAAGACTGTGACGGGCGCTGCGTTGTCCGCGGCCGCCGCAGCCCCTGCCCTGGGCGACGGCCCGGAGCTGGTCACGGTCGGGGTGCGAGAGGCGGAGCAGCGGCCATTACTGCGCAGCCTCTTCCGCCGGGGTCCTCGTCTCTGCCTTTGGTGGCAACCAGGTCCCTCTCCTCTCCCCTTGGCGGTGGTGTCAGGCCTCTACTCGGGGACCTTCCGGCCTCGAGATTTAGGGGCGGCTATGGTTTGAAGTGTATCCTGCTCCCTGTCTTCCCGTGTGGAGGCCTCTGCCCGGGCCTTGGGTCAGATCGCGGCCAGGGCGTACAGTCCCTGCATTTTGTCTTTTTCCGGGAGTGTCTTTGGCTGCTGCCTTCTCTTCCCTCTGCCTCCTCCTCTGCTCAGTGTCTGGGTCTTGCCTAATAGGAAGAGCAGTCCCTCCACCTTGCCCTGGTTAAACCCAGCGCTGCGTATTCTCGTTGTTTTGATGATTAGTAAATCATCGGAACAATTAGATCTCTTGATACCCGTTGAGGCAAAAAAAAAAACACAAAAAACCACACCTCAGTGCCGCTTAAAAGCGGAGGCTGTTGCTTTGTTCTGGTAGCTGAGTAGAGTTCTCTCCCTACCTCGCCACCCCTCCCCCCCACCAATCCCATCTTAAAAGAGTACGGGTCTTCCATTGTTGTCACCCTTTTATTTTCCGTAGGAGTCTAGAGAAGGCTGAAAAATTGTTTTGAGTTTACACACACATTTTGACAACTAGAGCCTTCTCTTGTTAACCATTTCGTATATGTTTTTATTTTCTTCCCTAAGTGCCAGTTTGGTGACACTTTTCAAGTTTCGAAAGTACTTACATTTTGTTTAATATTTTTAGTAATATTTTTGTAATACTGAAACTGTGGAATTGAGGGAAGAAGAACGCCAAGAAATGACAGAAATAGCGTTGTCTTTATAGTTTGACATTTCAGGTGCCTGGGCGCACTCCCTCCCCTCCAGTGTGTGTACTTTTAAATAGGATGTGAAAGTATAACACTGGCATTGAAAGCAGTGTATAATTACAGAAATTGGAGGACTTAAGACTTTTTGTCTTTTTAACAAATGAATCTATGTTCAGACTCTTAAAAAGACGTGGAATATAGGACACATGAAGAACATGACCCACAGAAATAAAAGGATTTATGATGTTCACTCTGCTGTTTTCATGACCAGCAAATACTGTTTGTCTTGAGTGTCAGAGTGCTCTAAAAACACATGAAAATAGGTCAAGTAAATCTCTAAAGAGAAAACCAGAAAAGTGAAAGCTACACTAGAAATAGATTTTTGGATGTGTTTGTTTTAGCCTTGTGTATCTTAAATTGGAATATTTTATTAAGCCCACTCTTTGATTTAGAATTTATGTTTTAAATGGGCCAGTGTAAGTTCTGGGAAAAATAAAAATAATGGTAAATATTTGAAGGTTTTTGTTATTTACTGGTTCTGAAAAACTTGGTCATCAGGGAAACTGTTTTTCCAAATAGCTAGTCATCAGACAGGAGGTCGAAAAAGGAAATGGCTTTTTTCTTTTAGGAGACAGGTGTCAACTGGTAAAGTATTTTGTTACAGTTTCCACCAATTTGAATTGTTAGAAGAATAGGACAGATTTTTTTAAAGGATCCAGAAATGATTTTTTGCCTTAGTATAGAAGAAAAAGTTAGTATTCAGTCTTGTCTTTTCACAATATTAGTCTGCTTAGAGAATATTATTTTATGTATTAGCCATTTATTGGCATGAAATGCCTGACATAGTCAGCTGGGTATTTCAATGTTTTTTTTCCAGCGTCAGTAACAGAGGGTGCTGACCATTTATTCCATTCCCGTACCTGGTTCTTGATTGTGCCTAAGGAACATGAATTTGTGAAACAACAGGTTGGATTAGGAATAATTTTTGTGGGTATGGAAACCATTTTGTTAACATTGTTCTACAGCCACCTGTGCCTGTTTATGGAATATTTAGTGTTTATGGCTTATTAACTTTTGGATTAATTAAAATAAAACCTGTTGTTAAATTCCTGTTAAAGTATTTAGAATTACAGAAATGTTGAATAGGGTGAAGTAACATGGGAGTTATGACTTGACCAGGGTCACACATATTAGTAACAGAGCCTTTCTCATTTACAAAATGGCTGCTGGCTATGAAACTTCTCTGTGATAAGATTAAAAGTATTTGTTCACGTTCACATTTCATGTTTAAAATAAAATGCAAAGGCCACAGTTGGTGGGGGGAATGTAAAGGTTTAATGCTTGAATGTGAAGATTGTGAAGGTCATAGATTGCCATACAGTTTTTTTAAGGTTTAAGGGAAGTACTACACAATAAGGGAAGTAATTCTTCAACATAGTGTAGTGTTGGGGCTCCTGGGCAGCTCAGTTGGTTAAGTGTCCGACTCCTGATCTCAACTCAGGTCTTGATCTTAGGGTCCTGAGTTCACGCTCCATTTTGGGCTCCATGCTGGGCGTGGAGCCTACTTAAAAAAATAAAAAGTAAAATAAAATAGTGTAGTGTCAAGTATTGGCCCCCATTTAGTTGAAATGAGTTTTGACTGAAGACTTTTGTTTCCCAGTATGACCTGTGCTTTCTGTAAGCTGAGTTTTAGCAGGGGATGAGAGGGAAAGCTAAAAATGGAAACATTAGGGCATGCATTTACCTCTCTCAATTTGAGACTCTTTCTCAAGAAATATTAAGATGTATCTGCTAAATTACACCCCGTCTCTCTATTCTTTCAGTGGTCTTTGCGTTTTCCTTTTTTTTTTGAGTTTGTATACCACAAGTTGGAAAGTTTTAAGTATTTTTCTTTTCTGTCACTGCTAGCTTTTATATAGAACATTTCCTGTTTTGTGTATTTTGAATTAAAAAAAAGTAAAAACTATTAAACAGCTGTCAGTAATTGGAAAAATATAGGAAGTCTTCAAATCTTTATAATTTGAAATTTTAACTTATATACTTATCTTTTTCTTTGATTAGTTCTTTTAAAAAGATAATCATTTATTTGAATCTATTATGTGGAAAAAAATGATGGTTTTTTGACTTTGTGACTGACTTGAAAAGTGGAATTGTAATTCTAGATATTTTCAGAGAAGATAACAGCATATGCAAATAATAGAAGTGTGAATTTGTTGAGTGGTCACAAATTATAAATAGTACGGTATTACTTCGTTTTCAGTTATACTTGCTTCCTAATTGGTTGAGTGGGTAAATGACTTAAATTCACTGACAATCTCTAAAGTCTTTTATATATTTTGAAATTTAGTCTGTTACCTTTTTTCCCCAGAATTGTTAAGAGGCAGAAATATGTAATGTAGTTTCAAATTTTTTCTCTTTTTATGTTACCTTCCTAATAGTTCTTTTCTGTATAAATTTTCACCTAAAGAAAGAACCTTAACCCATTCATTAATTGGTATTTGCGTATCAAAATACTGTGGTAAATTTTAGTTTGGTATATAATTTATAAATCATTCATTGAAGTGAGAATTATGTATGTTTGAATTAATTATGGTTTGCCAAATTCTGGCTTATAGTTAGAAATTTTGTCTTACATCTTTGGATGAAAGCAAAAGCCTCCCTTTCCCCTCATTTAAAAAAAATCTTTGGTTTCAAATGTAGAAATTTTCTAAGGACTACTACATATGACCATTTTGAATATTACATACTGTTCCCTGTGTTGTGCCCACTTGGCTTTATAATTGTCAGAGGTTATAGTGGATGGATCAGTTTGGCAGAATTGGTATCACTGAAACCAGTCAATTTTGATTACAACACAACATGCAGTTTTCTTTTTAATCTGTGCCAGCACAGGTGTGGATAAAGTAACATGGAGTTCATTTTCTTTATTCAACAGTTCTGGTGGTAAATTGCCAGTTTTGTATTTTTAAAAAGTGTTAATATGCAAGACATTCTAAACCAGCATTGTCCAGTATGGTAGCCACTAACCACATAGAGCTGTTGAGCACTTGATATGTGGCTAGTCTGAACTGAGTTGTGCTATATGTGTAAAATACACACCAAATTTCAAAGACTATACACACACACACGAGAATATAAAATGTCACATTAATAATTTCTTTATATTAAATACATTTGGAAATGGTAATGTTTTAAATATTTAGGGTCAAATAAGTTTTACCTGTTTCCTTTTATTCATGTGGCTAATAGAAAATTTGAAATTATAAATGTGGCTTGCATCATATTTCTGTTTGATGATGCTATTCTAGACCTTTTCTCTGAGATACAGTACACTGAAGAAAAGATTTTTTTAAAGAAACGCTTGGGTTTGAATCCCATCTCCCAATATTGATAGCTTTGTGATTTGGGATTAAATCCTTTGGGTTTGGGTTTCCTCATTTATAAAATGGGTGTAGTCATATCTCACAGGGTTGTTTGAGGTTATCAGGAGCTTCATGAACTTTTTAGTATGCATATGAACCACCTGGAGATCTGATTCTGTCGGTGGAATGGGGCTCCAGATTTTTCATTTGTAAGGGACTCCCAGGTAAATGCTGATTTAGTTGGTTGGGGACACAGTTTGCATAGCTAGGATCTAGAATACTACATAGATTTTAGTTTATTTTCCTCCCCCCAACCATAATTATCCATTTAGAGTCCACTTTGAAAATTAACCATGGTATATAGGAATTGGAAAAGTCACTGTAGCTTGCAAGATTTACTAAAACTGGTTTTATTCTTGGTTTTTTATCTGCATTCTGGAGAATTCATTGCCAGTGAACAAAACCTTAGGTAAATGATGAGCTTGTCAAAAGATATAAAGATGGCTTGAATCTTATATTTGTAAATGTATTAACTTCCCCCTGTTATATTTTAAGCTCTTTAAAGAAATGATTAGAACTTGGGTATCTTTATATCTTTTGTGACTGGGTGCCTTGTTCACAGAACTCAAATGTGTTATGTGAATAAATTTATTTCAGTATTTTTCTCAACAGTTACTTTAGGAAATTTTTCCTTCATCTAAGAAATAACACTTCAAGTCAACAAAAACTGATTGGCAGTTTACTAGCCACTTAGAGATAAAAGACAGTCTTTATCTTCAGGATGTTGATGGTTTAATAGAACAGTCAAAAGCAAATAAGTAATTTCAGTGTATGGGATAACTTCAGTAATAGAAGAATGTACAAAATATAGTGGAGGGAACAATTTTGGGGAAGTAGAGAAAGTGGTTGTATGGTAGCATTCATAAGCTGTAAAAGAGATAGATTATACCAGGAGGAGGAAGTACAGAACTATAAAGAGAGATTTAGAGAAGTATGAATGATTTGGTATAACTAGATTATGAATCTGTGAGAGTGGTGGTAGGAGATAAGTAAGACTAGAGACGAGATTCAGGTTTCAGGTCATTAAAGCCTCTGAATGCTGTCCTTAGGAGCTTTGCCTTTATTGTATGGGCTAGAGAACCAGTATGGGGCTTTGCATATGGGAGGCACATTTTGCCTTTTTAGTATATCACTCAGAGGCTTAGTGAATAAATTTGAGGGGTGTTACTGAAGCAGGATAGACTGGACAGTAGTTCAGGTGAGAGGTGATGTATGTCTAAACTAGGACACTAGCAATGGCAGGAGAGTAGAGGATAGATTCCAAAGGTGTTAAGGATAAAAGTTGACAGGATTTGATTGGAGAGGAGATGAGAAAAAGGATTTTCTGTTTTTTCTCCGTCTGCATTCCTTGATTAAAGCATGGAAACTGAGATGTCACTTTGTAAGATTCATGCAGACATGGGGGTTTGTGGAGAATGTGTAGATGAGAGACAGATGTGAAAGCCAAGTATTCTGTTAAGAAAGAAGTTAAGGGCGCCTGGGTGGCTCAGTTGGTTAAGCGACTGCCTTCGGCTCAGGTCATGATCCTGGAGTTCTGGGATCGAGTCCCGCATCAGGCTCCCTGCTCAGCAGGGAGTCTGCTTCTCGCTCGGACCCTGCCCCCTCTCATGTGCGCTCTCTCTCTCATTCTGTCTCTCAAATAAAATAAATAAAATCTTTAAAAAAAAAAAAAAGTTAAAATGGTTGGGCTCCAGATTGGGCAGGAAGAGAAATGAGACTGGGAACTGACTAAAGAAAAGGAGGCTGTCAAGAACCTAGAGATCCTTGTGAAATTAAAGAGTAGATGTGGGAATGAGTAAATTAGCTGGAAGGACCAGAGTTTGTAATCTAAGAGTGAGATTAAGATTTTAGAGAGGCAGCACTCTAGGTGGCTTCTAGTTCCAAATGTATACATCATATTTTGTTGCTGGATGGACAGGGAGGTGAAATTTCACTGAATTTAGGATTTTAGGAATTGAAAACGTACAGTTTTTCTCAAATTGGATTTGACGGATTACCTGCATCACTTTCACTTAAAGTGAGATTCCTGGGCTTAAACGCCATCCACGTTTACTGGCCTAGAATCTCCAGGGGTAGGGCCTGAGAATGTGTATCTCTAATAAGCAGCCTCAGTGGGGCAAGTTTTAAGAACCTCAGAGTTAGGAGTTGGGATGGGTCATATTTAAATTGGCTCATAGTGATGTGTCAGGAGTTAGGATGGAGAGGATGATGAACAGTGAAAATTAAGTCACTGCCTTAAAGGTTAATCTAGAAGAGATGTAGGGGATTATATAGTCATTGATGAGCCTCCAAAGAAAGTCTTCCCTCTTGCTGTTACTGTGAGGCTTACGATCTCTTTAGTCATCATGTTTGCTTGATTCTGAGTTCTATGTAGTATGATGTGCCTCCTGCACTGACTGGGCATCCTGAAGTGGCAGGAGAGAATACTAAAAGAGAAGAAAGGATTAATGGCTGAAATCATGTTTTGGTTAGTGCTTCTGGATTCCCTGAATAAGAGGCATCTTGAGAGAAGTTTGGCTTAATGATTGTAAACTTGGATATACATATAAATAGCAGGAGGTTCTAGTTAATGTGATGGCCTTGTCTTTGCACACACTACTTCCTTGTAGAAAGGCAGTGGCTATGGAATACATTGCATGTGGGCTATGTGTCCATATAGAACCTGTTTCACTTTAAAAACATTTTTATTGTGGTAAAATATAAATAACATACAATTCACCATTTTAACCATTTTAAGTGTACAATTCAGTGTCATTAATTACATTTACAATGTCGTGCAACCATCACCACTATTTATTTCCACAACCTCATCATTTTAAACAGAAATTCTGTATCCTTTAAGCAATAACTCTGTTGCTCCTCTCCTTAGCCCCTGGTAACTTACCTACTTTCTGTCCCTCAGTATGCCTATTTTCAATATTTCATTTAAGTGGAATCACAAAATTTTCCTTTTGTGTCTGTCTTATCTCACTTAGCGTAATACTTTCAAGGCTCATCCATGTTATAGTATGTATCAGAAGTTCCTTTCTTTCTATGGCTGTATAATATTCCATTGTATTTGTATACCACATTCTGTTTATCCATTCTTCTGCTGATGGGTGCTTGGATTGTGTCCACCTTTTGACTTTTGTGAATAATTCTGCAAAGAACATTGGTGTACAAGTATCTGTTTCCGTCCCTGTTTTAATTCTTTTGGGTATATACCTGGGAGTGGAATTGATGGATTATATGGTAATTCTGTTTAATTTTTTGGATGAACCACCAAACTTCATAGTGGCTGGACTATCTTTCATTCCCATGTGTACACCGTGTTCAAGGGTTCCAGTTTTTCCACATTCTTGCCAATGCCTATTATTTTCCTTTTTTTTTAAATTATAGCCATCCTAATAGATGTGAAGTGGCATTTCTTCTGGTTTTGATTTACATTTCCCTGATAACTAATAATGTTGAGCATCTTTTCATGTATTTAATGTCAATTTCTACATCTTTGAAGAAGTATCTACTCAAGTCTTTTGTCCATTCAAAAAAAATCTTTTGTCTTTTTGTTGTTGTAGGCATTCTTTTATGTATTGTGGATATTAAACCCTTATCTGTATATGATTTGTAAAGATTCTCTCCCATTTTGACGTTTAACCTGCTTGACAATGTCCTTTGATGCCCAGAAGTTTTAATTTTGATGAAGTCCACAATTTGTTTTTTCTTTTGGTGTCATTCATATCTAGGAATCCATTGCCGAACCCAACATCATAGAGATAAACCCCTCTGTTTTCTTCTAAGGGTTGTATGGTTTTACCTCTTTTTAGGTTTGTTGGTCTGTCTTGGGTTAGTTTTTGTATATGGTGTGAAGTAGGGGTCCAACTTCATTCTTTTGCATGTGGCAGTTCACTTGTCCTAGCATTTGTTGAAGAGACTATTCTTTCTCCCACTGAATGGACTTGGCACCCCTTTTTAAAAATCAGTTGGCTCTACAAGTAAGGGTTTATTTCTGGACTGTCTCTCCTTTTGGTGTATTTGCCTGTTCTTGTACCAATACCACACTGACTTGGTTACTGTAGCTTTGTAAATTTTGAAATCGCGATGTGTGAGTTCTTCAACTTTGTTCTTTTTCAAGATTGTTTTGGATTATTTTAGGCCCTTCACAATTTCATATGAATTTGAGAATTGGCTTTTCCATTTCTGCAAAAAAGGCTGTTGGAATTTTCGTAAGGATTATGTCGAATATATAGATCAGTTTGTTTAGTATTGTCATCTTCAGTCTTCCAATCCATGAACAGTTGTCTTTCCATTTAATTAGCTCTCCTTTAATTTCTTTCTGCAGTGTTTGATAGTTTTCAGTGTACAAGTCTTTCCCCTTCTTGGTTAAGTTGATTCCTAGGCATTTTATTGTTTTAGATGCTATTATAAATGAAATTTTTGAGCATTCTCTAAAATGCTTTCTTGATTGCCTTTTTGGATTGTTGACTGTTAGATGTAGAAACACAGCTGACTTGTACATTGAGCTTGTAACATGCAACTTTGCTGAATTTATTACCCCTAGTAGTTTTCTTGGGGATTCTTGGTATTTTCTATATAGAAAACAGAGATAGTTTTACTTCTTCCTTACCTTATTGTATGACTTTCATATCTTTTTCTAGTCTAACTGCTCCAGCTAGCACTTCCAGTACTGTGTTGAATAGCAGTGTCTGGAAATTTTGTCATTTCTAAGCTAAAATTTGCCACTGAATTTTGTTAAAGGGTCATACATAATTGACTAATTTTATTGATCTGTATAGAAGTTGATGAAATAACTTCTTTTGCAGCACAGAATGAACCAGCAGTGGAAGACAAAATACCACACACTGTTTGACTGCCGGTGAAGATGAGCTTTTGTTTTTGTGCCAGACAACTGTGGGATTTGTAATAGAAATGTAAGTATGGCATCATGGTTTGTCCCAAAGATGCAGTAAATTAAATGAACTGATAAAATGCAGTAAGCCAAGTACATGTTATATTTAGATCTAATTATACAAAATGTGCGTTTTGTATTGTTTTAGATGTTTTACTGAGTTAGTAATTTTATTCACATTAAATTACTGTTAATGTAGGTATCCAGAAATCTTATCAGGAAAAATTTCTATAAAAGTCAATGAAACTGAAGACAAAAGAATTTTCTCATAGGGTAAAAAACTGGAAAGATTTTTAGATCTTCTAGGTTTTACTTTCTCTTTACATAGTAACTTACTTAAAACCAAGCTAGGCAGACAATACCACCTTTTATTAATAAGAGGGACTTGATAGGACTTAAAAACAGTTACTATTAAAAGCTTGTTTCACTAAATTAAAGTGTTTTTTTAAATTAATTGATTTTTTAAAATAAAGATTTATTTAGAGAGTGTGCGGGGGAGGGAAGGGCAGAGAAAGAGAGAGAGAGAGAGAGCCCTAAGCAGACTCTGCGCTGAGTTCAGAGCCTGACGTGGGGCTTGATCTCACGACCCTGAGATCACAGCCTGAGCTGAAACCAAGAGTCAGATACTTAACCAGCTGCACCACCCAGGCGCCCCTAGATTAATTGATTTTTTAAAAATTTAGTATATTGCATTTTAATTAATACTGAATTCACCCTAGGCCCCAGTTTTACCAGCTGTGTTTTCCTATCGTTTAGTTTTTGTGAAATATGCTTTAAAATACTACATTACCATGATTGTGCCCATTTTGAACATCATTCTGTTCTTGATAGATATTTTTACATGATGAACATCGTATTTCTATCTTCCAAGTTAATATGAACATTATCCAACCTGTAGATACTATTTCACATGTTCTCTCAGTTTGATATGTAACTATTGCTATCTTCTTTTCAATATGATGCTTTAATTATATACTAAAAGTATGGCAATATCATTCTTAGTGATGAGAATTTGATAAAAGAAAAATGAAACCTGTATTTTTCTTTAAAATTGGGGCAAATATATCTTTTATTTAATCTTGTTCATATGTTATCTGCCGTTATATATATAAAATCTCTCTCTCTCTCTCTATATATATATATATATAGACTTAAAAACCATATATATATATATATATGTACGTTAAATATTATAGGTGCTGGCCGTCAAGGGACTAGACTATGGTCTAGGAAGTGAAACATAATTATTAATTAAACAGTGGAAGAAATGCCATATTGAGGTAACAATAAGATGGTTTTGGAACTGAGAGGATTTATTCCATCTGAAGGTTCAGAGAAGAACTTTTAGCTTGATCTTAAAGAATAAATAGAATTTTACCAAGCTGAGAAAATTAGGAAGTATTTTTTAAGCCAAGGTAATGAGGGAGGGGCACAGTTGCCTAAATATCAGGGCATCTTAGGGGAGTCAGGAGCAGTCCCATGTAGCAAAATGGGGTAAGGAGAAAGAGACTTCAGAGTTGGTAAAGGGAGTGAATATTTAGTACCTGCTGTATTGCTGGGTACTTACTGGGTATTTTATTTGGATTACTGAAATTAATCACTGTGAAAAATGGTAGTTAGCTCATTTACTGGTGAAGAAACAGAATTAGAGAGATGAAGTCATTTGCCCTAGGTCAGTGTTTTCCAAATTTCTCTGAGAATAATCCCGGGGACACTTGTTAAAAACACATTTTTTAGACTGTAACGCAGACATGTGCAAATTTCCAGGGTAGAGCACATCAGCTAATTCTTACTTTTGGAGAAATTTGGGAAATGCTCTTCTAGGTCAGTGTAGTGAGAATAAATGATGGAGCCAGGATTTTAGCTAAGTCTGTTTTACTCTAAAGGCTATGTCAATGTACTTGGAAGCCAGTGCTTAGGAATTTGGATTAGATAATGTAGGCAGTAGAAAACTATTGAAGCTTGGAGAGAAGACTGACTAGACATGACCTGAGAAAAAGGGATGAGGAGGAGAAAGGACTAAAGTCAGGGAGGCCACTTAAGAGGTTAGTACAAGAGTGTGTCCAAGAAGCCAGAATTGGGATCACAGGCTTTGGGAATGAAGGGGACACATTCTAAAGAAGTTTCTGTCACAGAAAAGAGAAATGGCCAAGGAATAAGGGAGTATGGAGGATGGCTCTAAGTTTTATGCAAGATCGAAAAAAAAGGAAAGAGGAATGAAGGTTTAGGAGCAGATAATTTTGGTTTTAGTCCTGTTTGATTTCAGGTTCTTGGAGAATATTGAGGTAAATTTGAATACAGATTGGAAACACAGTTGGCATGGTTCTGGATATTAGATTTTGGGAGTCACAGTGGTGTGTGTATTAATTTGAAATACTCCCAGTAGATTGTCTAGACATAGAATGTACTGTGAAAATAGGGCCACACACAGGGCCTTTGTGAAGAATACTGGTACTTAAGGGCAAATAGAGAAAAGAGAAAACAATAAAATAGAAAGGAGAATTGGGAGAGAATACCATCATGGAAATGCATAGTATAAAGTTTTAGAAAAAGAGTTGGTGGTCATATCATTCAGTGCAATAGGATCAAATATATTGAGACTGAAAGAGATCATTAGACTAAGCATCGTAGTTGATTTTGTAATTTAAGGATGGAGAATATTAACCAAAATCTTGAGGGATGGTACTAACACCAGAAATTGAGGGATTAGCTTTTCAAAACAACCAGCAGTGTCCCATCCTGAGCCAAGAGGAATGATGATAAGGTAGAGTGAAGATAAAGATAAATTTCAGGGATTCACTCTTACCTAATTTTTTAATGATAAAGGAGTCCAGGATATCTCTAAACTAAGAAGTTGGAGAAGTTGTGTAATAGTCTTTGGGGGAATAGGGAAAGAAAGTTGTCTTGACTGAGTAAAAAGTTACTGATAGGAGGCTTGATAGTCTCTGGGAAATCAAAATAGCTAATTATGTTTGGTGCTCCCAACTTTTGCACCATACATTTCACTCTAAAAGTGGAAATTTTCATGAGTTTAATAGTTAACTTTTGTTAAGTCCTCTCCTTGCTTGACTCTTCTTTTTTTCAAATGTCTCCCTTGTATCTTTTTTGGTGGTGGTGTCTCTTTAGTCCCCATCTCTCTCTGACCACTTCTTAAAATCTTTTGTAAGCTGTTTTGCCTCATTAGTAAATATTGAAATAATCGAAGGTTCTGTGTTTGGGCCTTTTGTCTGCTCTCTCTACAGGTTTAATTTGGGCATTCATTCATTTTCATGTCTCTTAAGAACCACGTATAGGTGACTCATCAGACTTTTTTCAGCTTAGATTTTACTTTTCCCCAAGTACGGATGAGCATTAGCCCTTCTCCATTTTTGTCTTATGAATAGTATCAAAATGGATGGATGGCTTTCTTATTTTCTTCTTAACTGGAGCTTTAAATAAATATGGAGATATAAAAGATTTTCAAGAATTTCATTGACAGCTAATTTCTTTAACCTAAATGGAAAGGGATGTAAGAATATACATATTGTTCTCCCGTTCTGTAGCCAATTTAGTTCTTTTTGTTCCCAAAATGTTTCAAGTTACACTGAGGTTTAAATGTAGCAATAGGGGGCACCTAGGTGGCTCAGTCGTTAAGCATCTGCCTTTGGCTCAGGTCATAATCCCAGGGTCCTGGGATCGAGCCCTGCACTGGCCTCCCTGCTCAGTGGGAAGCCTGCTTCTTCCTCTCCCACTCCCACTGCTTGTGTTCCCTCTCTTGCTGTGTCTCTCTCTGTTAAATCTTTTTAAAAAATAAATAGATAAATAAAAATAAAAATAAATGTAGCAATAGGACCTGATGAATTAAGAGGCTTTCATATACAGGTTTATGCTTTCATTTAATTTATTCATTTTATAATAATTTTTATTCAAACGTGAATTACCCCATTTTACTGATGAGAAAGCTGAAGACCCAGAAGCACTGTGTGTGTGATTTTTTAAAAACCTCTTATAGGTATATGACATGCTGCTTATATTTGGCAGAACTGAAAGTAATGTACATAGACTTAATGTACATGTACTTTACACTGTTACCACAATGTAAAGTTACCTGGAGCAGACAAAAGTATTCTGAATCTTTTGCCAAATGTAAATTGAAATATGTGGTATTCTGTCTCTTGTCACTTTGGGAAGTATTAAGATTTTGTATTTAAGAAATACATATGAATTGTGGGGAGCCTAACAAGATGTATTGTGCATGGCCAGTTCTTTTTAGGGGAAATAGGTAGACAGCATTGATTAACCAGTTGAGAAGCAAGCACTTTCACTTATAACTTAGATTGTTAAGTTATAAGATCTTTGAAGGCAAGGGTTTATCTCAAAATACTTTGAAGCTCCTCTAAGTGCCTAACACATATGAAGAGTTCATATCAGGTAGAACTTACCATAGGTTGGGAAAAAGTTGTACTTTACTAGTTTGTGTGACTTAGAGTTTCTGGTAAAGGAATTGATTGGAAATGGAATTAAAGGTTGAAAAAGAGTTTGGAAATCAAGTACTGCATAGTGATCAGTTCTTTCCACTGAGACTGTGTGCCACTTCCTTTTTTAGATAAGTACAATCTTTTCCAAAACTTGCTATCATTTTGAACCTTGTCTATTGAGAAACCAGGGCCACAGAAAAAAGCAGTAAGAGAATGGATTGTTGGACTGGATGTGCTGTGATGAAAACCTAAGAGGATTGTTTTTCAAGTTTTGATGAGCATAATAAACATTTTTTACTGACTACACCTTTTGTAACCGCTGTACCCATTTTTGAATGCTTGATCTTGGAAAATGGCAGAAATCTTAGGTGATTAAATTCTAAATATTCCTTGTTTAAAACAGCAGAATCAACTGGTACAGAGAGATTGTCATTCATTTTAAGCAGCAGTTAATTAGTGGTTGCCAATCTCTGAGACCTTTACCTCTATTTACGTATCACTGGTGCACTTCCTC